GTGTGTCTGAGTGGAAATACTCTCTGGAAGAACAAGATAATCAAGAAAGAATCACGGCCACACAGGTTTTTTAAAACATAACAAGGCAAACAGGGAGAAGGTCCATGTGATGAATAAATCTGTCCAGTGAAAACAAACTGTTTCCCCAAAAGTCAGATTTGTTTCAAGGTCTTTCATATTAACTAAAGAATAAAAAGCCTCACAGATACTTTTGGTCACAAATGAGAAACAGATTATTATTTGAACTAGAAAGTCACAGTGAACAACTCGTAAAACTGCATTTAAAGTCAAGATCCAGATTTTTATTTGGGAATTCCACACACTCATAAATATCAGTCCCCTCATCATGCCTGACTTTTATTTTTTAAGATCCATTAATTATTCTGTGAGGAAAAGGTGGAAAAAGTGTAAAATCCTAAAGAAATTCTAAACAATCACGGATGAAATGTTCTTTTACATTACATTTCCCTGAGAATCACTGATTCAATCCCTGCGACTGCTCCATGTGTCCATCAATGCCAAAGTTCCCATAAGCAAGACACTGACCCGTCCGTGCTGCTGGTTCCCTGCTCAGGTGAAATGTAGATAAGTGCAAACACGTCTCAGAGAAAGTGTGAAAAATCGATGACTGTGAAGTTCTTCAGGATGTCGACAGCCATTGTTCCATTAACCCCACAGTTACTGATTGAGAATCGTTAGGAATCAGAAACTTTCCTTGACTCGACGCCACAAAGACAAGGCGTCTCGTGGACGTGCGTCGATGGCGGCTCGGCCCTCTTCTCTTTGACCCAATATTAAAGCGCCATCCAGGAGGGAGGGATGATGGAGGGAGGCGATGGAAGCTGCTGACAGTCTCATTAATCAGACGCCAACACAGAGAGGCGGCGGCCTCGGCTCCAACATGAGACACAACGGCTCAGACATTGACTTGTCCTGCGAGTCCCACAGCAGCCATCAGCACCTGTTGACCCCATTCATAATGTTTATTTCCCTGAGTGTGCCTCCTGCTTTATTAGCCTCACCACTTCATTTCGTCTGACTCCTTTTGCTTTGGGTTTCACTCAGTCCTTCAGCTGCTCCGTCCTCTTGCCTGCTCCCTCCACATTTTAATGAGTGTTGTACAATGACATGCTGTTTATACAGAAAGTGTGTTTAATTTTTCAATAAAGATACCTGCACAAAAACTGGCAAGTCGTCTGCTGTTATTTCGAAGGAGGGGACTCTCACTGATGCATTGTGCTGCACGGCTAAAATCCTGGTGTGTCTGGGTCAGAGAAGGGAAATCAACCTCATGCAATGATTTTTAAATCAGATTTTATCACCCAACGTCAGTGACGTCCAGAAAATCTGATGAAAAACCTTTGCAGAAGGACAGAGGCTCTTTTAGCAGCCAATTAATGTTGGTAATTTTTTTTTTTGGCATCATTTTGTCTCTTTTCATTTATAAATGTCTCCTGTTCTTTCTTCATTTCTGTTTATTGCTGTTTTTTCCGTTATCAGAGCAGCAATAAAAACAACAGATGTTATTAATTTAACATTTACTTGATTACTGGGATGAAAAACTTGACTCATGCATCATCTGGTTTCAGCCTCTCAAATGTAAATGCTTTAAATAATTGCTAATGTAATGACTGGTTGGATAAAAAAGCAAAATATTGACTTTCCTTTTTATAGTAGGAAATGGTAATGGGTGCACAAACCCCATACATTAATAGGAAATTAAAATATTGATTGGAATTCACATGCAAGAGATTGGGTTTCTAATTTTCTGTTTGTCATATTTCTGTTTTTTTAACATCAGAAAACATCTCCTACATGATTCTGTGTGATGCACAATGAGTCTGCAGCGCAGTCTTTTTATTTTCCTGAATGCAGTGTTCATGCACAGGCTGCCTCCCCTGACAGATCTGCTTACGATAGCTTGACTCGGTGCCAGTGAGCATATGAAGCTCTGACACTACGCTCTGTGAATACCAACCAGACTCCACTGGAGTTTGAAATCATCTCTTTCTCTAGTGGAGGCAAACGTGTGATTGAGATGGAACTTCACTGACTGTTAACATGATGCTCAAATACATCATGGGAGACACTCGACACATTCCTACTGTACATGGCCTCAAGTATGTTGACGCCATGACAGTGCATGTAACTTGCTTTATTTTGAATGTACCTGCTGAGTTACTTCAGTGTTTCATCATGAGACTAATGTTTGCTGCAGATGAAGATGTGCAGATCAATGACCTTCAGATACTGTGAACTCTGTTGTTCTCTGTGTTACTGTAATGGAGAGAATTCATCTATTGGGATAGATAAGCCTTTAAGTCAGGGTGACTTTTGTACAAAAAGAGTCTCGTCTCTCTTTACATTCTCAACCGCTGCGCTTATCATAAAAATTATTCAAGTGTGCAAGAGACTTTTAATGACCCGAGGGTGACGTTTTGTAGAACGCCGTTTCACGTTTATAATTTGAAACTGTCTGTGCTTTTAATTTGGAATTTAAAGACTTTTACAATATTATCTACATCACACAAAAGTGTAATTATAGCACATCTATCATGTCTTTTAAAGGCCGATCAGTGTGTGAGCTCACCCTCTTGCACACTACGTGACCAAAGGTATGTGGACACCTGAGCATTACACCTATGTGTCTTGTTGCACGTGAGCATTGATCTGCTGTAAGAAGCCTCTAGTCTTTCTATGTGATGCCTCCTGTTCAGCCTGAATTAGTGACGTAAGCCACTGATATTGTATGATAACTTACTGGTAAATGATAAACACCAGATAAATACTGATAAATACTGATAGAAACCAGATAAATACTGATGAATACTGATAGAAACCAGATAAATACTGATAGAAACCAGATAAATACTAATAGAAACCAGATAAATACTAATAAAAAACTAAATTAAAATAGAAAAACTTAGAAACATTTGTAAATTATAACCTAATTTATTTTGTTTAATCCAAACGACTCATTTTATCTAAATATTTTCACACTGAAAAGTAAATAAACACTTTTAATCAAACTATGTGGAATAAGTTGTGAAATGACGTCATCTAGCGTCCACTCCTTCAACTACATCCTCAGCGCTGTAAGTCCCGCCCCTGAGCCCCGCTCGTAACCAATCACAGCTCGGTCCTTTGGGCCTGAGAGGTTTAGTTTTATCCCTGAGCGGTGACTGTCAGGTGACCCCGTCCGCCACAGACCCCTCAAATCAAACAGTTGCATTTTAACCGAGCTTGTTAAACGCGTATTTGTGGGTTGACAACACATGTCGGGGACAGACACGGTCCATGTTGGGGTTTTATCGGAGGACAAAATGCCCTCGAGACGAAACTCGGGGCGGGATCTTCCCCCCTCCGTCGCCCAGAGTTACTATTAAATCAGTGCCGATTAGCTTCATTACGAACTTTAGCTTTTTAATTGATTAATTAGCTCGTCCGACAATTAACACACGGATTCTAAAACAACACATGACTCAACGTGGTTTCCTCTCTCTGCGTGTGTTCCGCTGTAAGTTTAGTAAAAGCGCCGCTGACGATAAGGAACTTTTTTTGATTATTATTTAGAAAGTGCCACTAACGTTTAGCTAGCTAGCTAGCTAGCAGCGGTTAATTATCGTGTAGCTGCTGCCCCGGGATTGTTGTTGTCACTTTGTGCACGCGTGGACTTCTGGGAAAGCCTCTCAGCGAAGTGTGGGGTTTGTTGTGGTGTGTGTTCGCCATGGTGACACCGAGCTGCGTCCGTTCTCTCTTTGGTTGTGCGGTTTTCAAGGCAACAGACTCCTGCTGGCGAGAACTTTCTGAAATCTCCACTTTCTCATGCATCCAAACATCTGCAACCCGAGGTGAGTTTGCTGCTCAGTCTTATTCGAAGTTTCTCTGCAGGACTGTGTTGCTTTGATTTCAGTGGAGCTGTGCAATGTACTGCCACCTTTTATTGTTTGCAGAGTTAATGGTTCAGTCATATAGTTTGCATCCATTCCACCTGGTTTCCCTGCAATGGGGATCTTACAGTCAAATTTTTTTTTTCATGAAATGAGCGTTCTCCTTCTGGAAACTTGGCTCAGGGATCCTCGGGCCTACCAGCCTAACTGGTAGAACTTGGTTTACAGTCGGGTGGATGTTGTTGAGCAATTTCTCAGATTTCCTTCAGTTGTTGAGCTGTTTCAGTGTCTCAAAGCGTGAGACATGCTACCTGTGTGTTTAAGGGGTAATGTTGCTGAAGTTTCTCCTCTAATCTGAAATGTGTCTTGTATCCCAGAACCTGCAAAGTTTAATTTAAATAAACAAACAAAAAACACACAGAACATAGTAAATACACAACTGCAGTTCTGAAGGAGACTGATGGCTTCAATATAAACGTGTTACTTGTTTGGCTCTCAGTAAGAACATGTTTTCATAAGGCTGCACACATTTCTAGACTTGTGTGAAGTTCATACTCAACTGTTCTGGATGATAATTTAAAGTCAAGTCTTTTATTATTCATGCAAACTGGAACAATGGGCCAGAAACATTTTTGCATTAGGTCACAAACTAATCTTATGAAGAATAAACTGTTCTGTTGTGCTGCCTGGTTACCGATTCATATCATATGTCCTTCAACAAGTCACTAGGAGAAGAAACTGAGTAAATCAGCTCCGGCATGTTTGTCTTGGGGATGTTTTTGAATTCAAAATCCTCATCAGCCTCCTCTGCACCGTGTTTCCTGTGTCCTCAGCTCCTTGGTCTGCTCCTTCTAACGAGATTAGCAGTCACATCCTGGTCACTGGGCCATGTTAGCAGCTCGCAGTAGCTCTGCCGGCATCGGTGGCAGCTCCTGCTACACTTCTGACTCTTTCTGTGTCGGTTCACCTCAGAATGACTTTAGAGCCTGGCCCTCTTTCCTGGTCCCTCCTGCTTTCTCTCCCCTCTCTTGTCTCTTCCTGTATGTCCACCTGTCTGTCCTGGATGCAGCCTTAGCTCACCTGACACTCAGCTGGTTAGAGCCCTGCTGTCTGTGTGTGTGTCTGTGTGTGTGAGGAGGATCGGGGTATTGCTTCATGTCCTGGATGTATAATGATCATTGTCTGTTTACAATCGCCTGAGCCCCCTCTAAGGGCTTTAGAGCAGCTTAATAACTCCCATCTGGCAGCCGAGATAAACCCTTAGTTACCCCAGTAATGAAAAGGGAGCATGAGCCGAGCAACAGGTGAGTTGCTGCTTTAGTTTACTCTTAACAACAGTTATTTAGAATTCAGGCTTTGATTTCAGCCGAGTTTGTTGCCATCTGCTGCTTGTCTCTAAATCCAGTTACTGTTGCTAATACATTCTGTAAATATCCAACGTGTGCGAGACAGAAACACAGTAGAACCACCTATAACTAAAACTGTTAAAGAGATGACGGGGCTGTACCCTCTGTTCACAAGCACCAAACGAAATAGGAAGTATTTTAAACCTGTAGGTAAATTGTAAAATGCAAAAATATTGTAATAAAAATCCTGCAGAAGAATTAATGAAATTATATAGTTATACTCCTCATCCTTTGTGTGATACAGAAGGAAAGATAAACTATAGAAATACTGATCGATCAGTTTTTCTATTCTGAAGCTGTCTCTGTTTTCCCTCTCGTCTACTTTATATGCATTGTGAGTCGTCCTGTTGACCAGCGTGACGACGACTCACTCACATTTGTGTATGAATGGGATGTAAAGGGAGCGTGACCCGACTGTGTTGGTCGCACTCTCTGAGCCCTGTTTGTTTCTCACAGAATAAAAACAAGCGTCTGTGGATGCACTTGAGTGCCTCTGAAAAAACAAAAACTCCCCTGATGAGTGAGTGTGTGTCTGTGTGTTGAATGAGAGACACTGAGAAGCACCAGACTAATAATCTTCTTGTGCTAATCTGGGATGTTGATGAAAGAAGACAAGACACATGGTGACCACTTGGTATAATGAGAGTCTCAGTGCTAGAGCAGTGCTTTCTGTTATTATTATAATTATCACTGAATCCCTTTCATTGATGAGATGTTTCTCTGATGATGTTTAGGTCTTTGACTTGTTGCTGATTTTGGTTTTTTTACTTCCTGGCTCTAAATACTGCTTCAAACAGCAGAGTTTGAAAATTTGCCTTTTTACACTTGAGCCCTGCAGCAGCTGTGTCATCAACTATCAAAGAAACAGCAAAGAATGATATAGATTTTGGGAACTGAGTGGTTGCTGACATCAGGGAGTAAATGATACAAAATACATTCAATTAATATACACTGGTTCCTATAGGATGTTATCAAAGAAATGTAATTGAGGCTTCACAGTTTTGCAAAAAATAATATATATACCAAATATATAGAACTTGAATTAAATAAACCTTTAAGTGATAAATGTAAACATAACTGCACATCTTTTTCTGCATTGTTTGTTCTGTAGAACAAGTTTTCGTAATCAAACTAAAAACCTATTAGTCTGTGAGAAGCTCAAACTGGCCGTTAATGTCAGGCAACCAATAGATTAGCTGGACTCTAATTAAATGTGTGAGGCTGCAAGTACACTGTGTGACAATGGTGCTTAATGGAGTTAAGATTCCTCATTCAAATCTGTAGTATTGATCATACAACTGCACCACTGGAGACTCACACAGGCTTTTATTGCAGATTCTGAAAGAGCAGCCAGTGTCAATGTTGTGGAGTTGCCATGGTGAGCGTCTCAGCTCCAGAGGGAACTTGATGTGCCTCTGAAAGACTAAGAGTCTGATCTGAGTTCAGTCACGTGAACGACAGGCTTGTCTACAGTGAGGACTTATGTTCAGGACACAGTATAAGTTTAAGTACAGAAGGTTTGTAAATGCTGAATCCTGCGACCCAATAGCACAGGATTGGAGCGGTGGGCAATAAAGTGAATGTAATCTGTGTTGCAGACTCACACTGAGTTCATGTCTCCTTGATAAACGAGTCCATCCGTGTTGCACCTCAGACAAAATATAGCACATCCCATCATAAACATGTCGATGTCCAAGAGCAGGATGAGTAGATTAATTCACACAAATCAAAAGGAAACATAAAAAGTCATGTTATGTACCTAACATTTTGTGACACATGCTCATACAGTATCTGAAGTAATAACTTATTTTGCAACTTAAACCAGTCCTTCAATCTAGATCAAGCAATGTGTGGTTTATTATTAGTATTAGTCATTTTAACCGTTGTGCCAGAAAAGTGTCCTCCATTGGAAATATGTTACTACTATTGATTTTCTTCAGGCAATAAAATCTATGAATACTGGATTAATGAGATGGAAGCTTGATGCATGGGTGATTTTAAATGGAGATCTGTTTTTTTTATAGCCCAGGCTTCATCCTGTCTTGAAAATTGAAAACCCATAAAAAACATTTACTATTCAGTGAATTATTTGGGGGGAATTTTATTAATGCATTTAAATTTCAATAGTTATTCTCTGTTTGATTGTTACGCATGACATGCCCTTTTTGAAATGATTCATTATTTCCTGTGGAGACCTCCTTCTAACAGTCAATCGGCTTTTCATACTAAATAACTGACTTAACTTCTGTTTGTTTCAGAAACTGTCAAACAGAACAGAAGCGATCTCCTCTTCTGCGATATCACAGATGAGTCGTCCTTCTTTGTTCCTCAGTACTGACGCCAGCTCACTGACATGACCTGCAGTCTGTAAACCAATGTAGTCATGACTCTGAGGATGGACCACGATGCAGAGTCAGATCAACAAGAAAAGATGCGGAGGGTTCTCCTGCCTGGCTGAGACAGAAACTGAGGTCTTTGACTTTGATAGGGTCAAAGACCTTCATTTAGGAGAGCTGGATTTCAAGACACGCCCACAACTCCAGCTTGATCCTGTGGAACAAAGTCTAGAGATTTCCGACTCAGCATCAAGACCGAGAACTGGTCGTCTTCCTGCAGCATCTTTAAAACCATTTCAGGTGTAAGTCGGAAATGACTGCGACCAGCCATACTAACACTCTGGATTAAAAAAATCAAAAGCATTTTTTCAAACGGCAATATCGATCAGTCTTTTAAGTATATACAGTTTTTATTATACTATTTAATGAATACTTAAAATGATATTAAATGATTAAATAAATTGTATTAAAAAAATAAACACGCAGTGACACAAAAAGCAAATATGTTTCATTCAAAAAGTAACAAAGGAAACATTTTAAAAAAGTATTTGTGATGATCACTGAATGATGAAAGGCATTCACTGCAAAGATATAGAAAATAAAAACTTTGGACCCAAGTTGTATATCAAAGGATTTAAGACAAACAAAGAACAGTAGAGGATATTGTGGGAAATGTTTAACATATTTGCTTTATTCATATTTATTATCGTAAAGATGTTTTCTTCCCTTTTCTTCATACCTTTTTTAATCTTTGCAAGGTGATAGCATGATGAGTGGCATCAAAGCACAGACAGAGGAGCTGAGGCAGAGGAAGGAAGAGCAGAAAATGGAGCGTCTCTCCGAGGAGGAGAGCGATGGAGAGACAGAGGTGAAGATGAGGGAACAAACCGGCACATTAGGTGAGCTTGGATTAGGGAGCTCCATTAACCAAGAAGAGACTGAGTGGATCAGATCAGCACAATCTTGTGCTGCTCACCCCGTAGAACCTGCTCTCACAACCCCCTCTTCCCCGCTCCTTCTTCACTTCACTGCTGAGGAATTATCTGATGCTTCAGGGATTGAGGATGAAACTTTACCTGAGATGGGCTTCATAGAAAGTCTTCTAGAGTCGCACAGCAGCAACATAAGCCTCCAGTCCAGTCCTCGTCCTCAGACGTCTGAAAAGCAGGAGGTGAAGTGGCCTCACACAGCGCCTGTATTTCCTGAACAAGTGATGGCAAAGACTCAAATCTATGTCGGGCCATTAAACGGATCAGTAAAGTCAGATAAGCATCACAAGCAGCCTGGTTGCTCACAAAGGAAAACAAACCAGACTTGTCCTGAAGCTTCACTTTCTGGGATTTGTTCCCTCAGCAACGTCAGAGCAGAGTCTCTAGAATCCAGACCGAGTTCAGACAGAGAGCTGAGGACACCCAGGGGCAGGACAAATGAAGTCAATGAGTCCAGGTGACGAGCATTTCCCTTCCCTCAACTTCAATCAAAGTTTTTCCATTAAAAGCACAAACCATCAATTTTTGTATTTTTTTTACAGAAACATGCCTCTGACTCACCGCACTCCGGACTTCTCTAAGGTGGGGCCTAAGGTCCGTCTCCCCCAAGGCGGTTACAAGCCCCCCATGAGCAGGAGGGCATCCTTGTCTTCCGAGTCCGCCATAATTTACATGTCTCCTACTGACATTGTGAGAGAAGTACTACTGAACTCCACTAACAGATCCCCTGACCCATCTGATCGGAAGAGCCCACGAATCAGTGCCCTCAACTCCAATGTGCCTCAGGAGTTCAGATCCCGACAGCATGCCATCACACTGCTCGAGCAGCTACAGGTACTGACAACAATGAACTTGGAATAAGCCATAATGGAGAAACAAGGAACTGATGATACCCTGCCAGGGTTCTTTGTTTTTACACCAGTGCTAGCCGTCTTCTTAACATGATCACACAGGCCCACAGCTTTTAGATAACTATAGTAACCAGATTGCAGTAAAATTACTTACTGTTGAAGTCTTGTGGTGAAGACTTTTTTTTAATCAGGATTATCGATTTAACTTCGACCTTGTATATGTTTAGTCCATATTTTACTTTTCCCTTCTTGGGCTGTATTGTCTACTGCTCCAGTTAAAAATCTCAGGGTTGAGAATGACGACCCAAAACATGAAAAACAGCTGCAGACCAAAAGTACAGTGCACAGAAGTGGGGTGCCCACAAACATTTGTTTCTTTTTTCATTCTCTTCCCCTCTTTTATCCTCCCTTTCCCTCTTGCTGCAGGAGGACCACAACAGACTGCTGACTAAGTACGCTGAGGCTAACAACACTATTGATCGTCTGCGTCTGAAGGCAAAGGTAGGAGAGATCAGGCCATTTCATTTATCACGGATTAGTCCCGTGCAGTCAGGTTTGGGGCCAGGGAGTCTCTTCCAAATGTAACCGAGGTCACAGTCAAACAAAAACAACAAACTTCAGCCAATGACAATGTCTCTGTGTGTTTATATTGCGGTCAGAGCTATTTTAGCATCCTGTGGTTTGTGAGCTTCAGTTTTAAATGGAGCTTTAGGATGCATATGTTGTTTGTCTGCAGCTGTGAGTTTTGTATGTTTCCATCAATTGAACGGACAAACTATTATTGTACGATTCCTTCTTTTGAGTTTTTCTCTGTCGCTGTACGGGAGGAAAACTAACCTTTGTATGACAAGAAGTTAGACCCAGCACTGATCCATTCATGAAAGTGTTGACACGTGACAGTAGTTTGTGCGTCAGATTTTAAAATTCTGGTGGAAAGAAAAAATCCCTTAAGATGTTAAATTCAGCTACAAGCAGGTGGGATAGTAATTCTAGTTGACGTAGGTCATGTATGTTAAGGTGTGTTGTCCTTGGGGATGTCGCGATTAACCGATTTTACGATATCCGCGATTTCATAACCGTAAGAATTGTAAAAACGAAGGTGTCCCGCCTCTCGCGGGTCACGTGATTTGCGTTATATCCACCGAGGCTGGTCGAAGAACCAGGACAGTTCACCTGTTCTACTTTTCCACATGCCGTCAAAACATCGCTCCCAAAACAGAACAACTTCCGTCGTTGACCCTTCAAAATAAAAGTCCCATACAGACACACTGCTTATAATGACACAAATTCACTGACCAACCTTCCACAATAAGGCAACTAAATAAAATGGCTTACATAAATTACTTTTAAATAGCCAAACGTTATACTTTATGAAGTAACTGGATATTGTTGATGATA